GCAATCGATTGTCACTGCAGACTGTCGCCGAACAAAAGCAGTACACGTTTTCCATGGACGTACCCCTGTTTTGACCGATTTCTCACCTCATATATGTGAGCATTCTCTCTCTGCCTATCCTTCTCGTTGATGAGACAGATGCCTCGCTCTTCCTGGAAGTTAATTACTATACGGCGAAAGCAGCACCCTGAAGAGCTAATACTGCGATGATAAAGTTTCTCTATCAGACAACTCCAACAAAGGATTGGACGTACACCCGAGGTATCAACTATCAATGTCAAGCCTTCCACTCAGTAACTACAACCCAGGCAACACCATCCCCTCGGGTGTCTTTTTCCATTGCAGAGTAATTGTATCAAGCAAATCCTGCGCTTCCTCCCATTCCCTAGTCATAGTCTCGGCCCTCTTGCCGTCTCTAGGGGTTATAACTGCCTTGAACTCCTCCGGCATGCACACGAAACCTTGTGTCAGCAAATCTGGATCGGGCAGAATCTCTTTCCCAGTGGCAGGGTCGATCGCCGGTCTGATATCAAAGCCCCATAGCATACGCGACATGCCGAGGAACAGACTCCTCTCCGCAAGGTGCATACCTTGACAGATCCTCCTACCGGCGCCGAAAGAGAATGCAAAGCGCTTGGAAGCATCTGGCTGACCCGCCGATTCTGCTAGAGTCTGGAAGTCGTCTTTGAACCGGTCTGGGTCGAATCTTCGAGGTTCGGGAGATCGAACAGGATCCATATGAATAGCCCAGACATTATTCAGGACACCGGCACCTTTTGGGATCTTGTAGCCCATGTATGTATCATCTCTGGTCACTGCATGCGGTACGCCACCCAAAATCGTCGTCGGCATCCAGCGGAGAGTTTCTTTTACGCATCCACGTATGTATTGCAGACTCTGCTCGTCATCCATTGTTGGAAGTCGCTCAGAGCCAACGACCCTGTCCAATTCCTCCTGCGCTTTCTTCTGTACGTCAGTAAAGAGCAGCATTGCCTGTACGAAGGCATATAGAGTGCTTGAAGTCGTATCCGAGCCTGCCTCGAGCAACGACCCGGAGATATACCCCGCCTGGTCGTCAGAAAAGCCCTCTTCCAGTTGCGCCTGTGCCATGCCGACACAAAAGCAAGGCCTGATGGTGCCAGCTTTGACCGCCTCCTTCGCATCAAGCCAGTGTCCCACATAAAGTGCTCTCTCCTTCTTAAACATCTCCTTGGCCCTTTTCTGCATCGGCAACAACCAATCAGGCAGTCTTCTCAACAAAGGTATGGAATCAATCAACGCCGCCGTGCCAGTCTGATTGATCTCCGCAAAGTTAGAAAAGCCCTCAAACAGCTGTTTCATCTTCGCATCCTCATAAGTAGGCGTGCGCCAACCGAAAACCATCGTCGTGGTAAGCGCATTAGAGTACCGTCGTATATTCTGCAGAAACCTCTCCGGCGACACCAACATCTCAAACAGCATCTGTTTGTTCTCAAGCATCTGATAAGGCACATACGTCTTCGCCGCCGACACGTTAAGAAGCGCATGGATCATCTTCCTGAAATAGCGCCACGTTGGTCCGTACTCCATCATCAGGAAGCGGAGGTTGCCGCTGGCCAGTGTCTGTCCGATGTACATGTCCGGTCTGGCGGAATAGATGGCGCTCCGTCTATCCAGTAGTTCTTTCACTGCTTCGTCGCTCGAAAGCACGATTAGCACTTTGGTGCCCAGCATGAGGCTGTAGATGGGACCGTATTCGTTTGCCCATTTCTGGAACTGGAGATGCGCGTCTCTTGTTGGCATCTGAGATTTTGTTAGCCCTGCCGCTTTTGATCTCGTGTAACTTGCTTACCTGGTGTATGTTTCCGATCAAAGGCAAGGTTGGTGGGCCCGGGGGTAAGTCTCTGGGTCTGCTCCCGATCCGCGACACTTTGTAAAGCACAGCTACAAAACCCGCTAGAGCGAAGATGGTCGTGTATGAGAGCATCATGGTTCCCGATGGGGTGCTGAAGAATGTGTGGTCGGTCTCGGCCTGGGTAGCACTACGAATAGTCTTTGAGTAGACTCATAGGATATATCCACGGTTGCAGTACGAGGAGGTCGTGTCTTACATTGATATGTCGTACGATATGTCTTATTGCCCAATATATGCAATCACCCCGCTTTCATGATCCACAAAAGGTGGGGTTGGATGCACGACTGATTGGATGTTGTTGGAGCCCAAGTTGGGGAGGAGATTCGGGTGAGCAACACCCGAGAGCTGGCGCATTCGTTCACATTTGCTTGATACGCTTCATTTTCGGGCGTGTTATCAACTCTTTATACACGTTCCGATGTGTCTTCCTTGAAGTGAGATGGTATCCACAACACTGTCCGTATACGAACTGAGAGATGAATTTGACTATGACCAGATAAAGCACATGCAGATCATGGCAATCCCAGACGCCATTCAACAAGACACTGACAACTCTCATTCTCAACATGCTTCCGCCAGGCTACAGGCTCTGTCGTGTGTGTTAACGGGACATAGACCGCTATCACAGACCAAGCTTCGAACCTCGACTCCAGACTGACCATTGCATCTGCATTATGCCAGCAGACTATCATTGCGAAAAGTGGAGTCACCTTTTATCTGGAACCGTTAATCTCCTTCCTACTAGGCATACTAGGGGAGAAGTATGCACGCCAAGTCTCGAATGAGCGATAAGTCTTGGATGGGTATCTCTTCCGAGTCACACCTGCCAGATGCCCAATGGACGGCCAGCCACCATCGTAAGGTTCATCGTAAGGATAGACATGGGCCTTGTCGTTAGGAATTCTGCGATCTCTTATAGCAAGAAATAGCTTAACAGTGTCCGTCAAAAAGCCAGGCGTAGGAAGAAGACTCAGTATGGCGCCGAAAGGTGCATAGACTATTGCCTTGCTATAAACATCGCCTGAGCCAATGCCCTTGTCCACAGTCTTGATCGACTCATCAAGAGCATCTATCTGGCTGGCGATGTCTTTGATGACTGTCTGTTCGGGGTATTCGATATTTATCGACATGAGTTGCCAACGCAGTACAAGGTCCGATAAAACTTCATTGGGCTTGAGAGTTCCAGATAGCATGTTCGGGAGGATTGACAATAATCCTTCAAGACCGGGCGCGTGTTGTCTCAGAAACTTGAATCTCTGCCTGCCAATATCGTAGTGGCAACCAGGGAACCAACGCTCGGTAATGTTCGGGTGTTTCCTCTGCTTCTGCTCTTTTTCGGATAACTTGGTCAGACAGGGCTGGAAGACTGACAACCGGTCATGAAGAGAACATGCGTGATAAACCTTGTCGACCACGCTCGGCACTACCTGATCCCACAATGTTGGATAAGTCGGCCCGTTTCCTGCGTCGATGGTAGGTATACCAATACTCCCTACCGTGTCAAGAAGGCCCATGAACTTGACCGGAGTTTCGTCACTCCAGCTTGCTCTTGCACGGAACATGGTGCTTTGCTCCGACCATGGTCTATCCTCTGGATATGGACTAGTATATATATTATACACCTCCTTGCACAAGTCTTCGGATGGATGCTTGAGTATCCCACAGTTGTTGATCATGCCCGCCACACACCTAACTGTCTGCCGGTACTGATCAGCTAAACGTTGAAACATGAATGCAGACATGACTCACATAGGCTCCACGGCTCAGCCCAAACATCCAGATCTCCGCACCGTTTGTAAAGTTTTCCGCAATCCATGCGTATGTCTCGACACACATTATAGAGATGTCGTTGGCGGTAGAGCCGTTGAAGAGATAAGCCAGAAAGGTGCTGCCAAGGCCAATACCGTCAAAGTACTTTGCCTTCAGCTTTCGGTCTTCATCGTGGATCTCAGTGATACCATCGGACACGGTGATGCCGGTCATCTCGGCGAGGATTTGGATATTCGTTCTCGTATCCGTCTCGGGACCGCACCAAGTACCATCACAAAACACGACTAGCTTCTGGGCATGCGTCGTAGGCTGCATGTTGTCTTGAATGATTATCCAGTGAGGCTCTGAGCCGGAAGGTTTTACGAATAAAGAAAGTAAGACTACTTCAAGAGTAAAAATTAATGCGCTTTATGAAGCTGTAATAATACTGGAAATGCTTTTCGGTACGTGATATCGTGGAATGAGTCCTGGTAGTCCAAGGTGTTTTGAAAAGAATATATCTGGTGCTCAGGTAACCAATGGAAAGAACGATGCTTGAAACTATTAGCAGCAGATGAGGAAGGTGGCCTTCACTGTCTATTCAGACAGGAATAGAAATATCGAAGAATGGAAGTTTGAAGGTCGATATCCGTTGATCCCCTCCTCCTTAAGAAGGCTTTCCTATATCTAGACATGTGACGAGGCAGCCAGAGGGATTCAGGCATGTGAAAAGCCACAGCTTAAATACGGCCGCTGCCACGTCTCAGCCTCAGCTAGCTGATGGTGAAGACATACTCACTTTCGCAGGAACCCTATCTTGCCTGACTCAGATCAAGACGACCAGGTAGTTGTATCACGAAAGCTGGGGTATACGGACAAAAGCGTGCAACGACGATTGGTGGTTTCTATAACATAGGTAACGGGAACGCTTACTGCAGCGCTTACTGCAGCTTAATCAGCGCTCAGCCTCTATACAAATCAAAAGATAAGGCAGACGAGTGATGCCACCGTAGCTGGATGGACTGCTGCTTGCTGAAAGTGATCCAAAAGTGGTAACAGGTCACCAGCTACAGCAATAATAATAAATTCGTTGAGCTGAGAGCGCATGAGGATGCACGCTGGGCATGGGGCCAAGCGTTGCGTCACCCCCTCATACGCCGTTGAAGGCATGGCGCGCCTGAAGGGACGCCGACGCTGGAGAAACAAAGACCAAAAGTCAAAAGCCGGAGTCTGCTTTGACTATATGGGCTTATACTTGTGGTCGACAACAAAACATGATTTCGAGGTATGCACTCATCTGGAACAGAGTCGTACTTCCAGATCCGAGAGCGTCAGTGCAAAACATGATTCAACATTATTCCGATGCGGGGAATTGGACCCCGGCCTTGCCGGCGCTTCACTCTTGCGAGATGAGAGCGGCAAATCCTAGCCACTAGACCACATCGGATTATGAGAAGAATCGGGTCCCTGTGATATATATCGTAGTAGCTTGTCTTCCTATCTATTGTATTGTTTTGCACTTTGATAAATATCCTCACACTTTCAGTCCACTTTAGCACATGAAAAATCGTTCAGACTCGGTTGACATGACTAGTTTTCACTGCTCAACATCGCCGAATTTTTCTTCTGGATCATTCGGCTTAATCTCGAGATGTTGATCACTGCGAACAATGATCCGATATGCTCCTCCTGGAAGATCATGTCCAAGCTCTAGAGAGCCGGTGATTACTCGGCTTCTAGAAGCTAAGGTGGAGCGCTCGGCAATCTGTACAAAACTAGCTGCTACCTACGCCTGTCTCGGGCCACATGTAGCACCGACCAATACGAACGAGTTCGATCCTGGAATAGTTTGGGCCTCCACGGAAAAAAAATCTTGGGCCCACACCGAATAATTCGGTTGTCGAAGCGACCCCGGGGCGACGAACATCTGTGAGAGCTAGTCCGCATGACATGTCATGATACAAGTTCACATATCTGTTTCATGCTGAGACGGCACAAGACCCTCAATTTGACCCCGTAGTACATCACCATCAACGAGGTCATAGATCAGCATCGACAAATTTTACTCTTACGATGGTGGAGGATTTGCAGTAGAAAAGTTGGCAAATCCTCTCTAGCAGTGATTGATCACGGGATCTTCATCTGCAAGTTTCAGGTTGAGAAAAAGTTCACGATCTACACCGGTTGGTCTATGGCTTACCCACTGTAGAATATATAGAGCAAGACAAAAATAGTGCTGACAAAGCGAATGATGTGAGAGGATGGACTAAAAGCAAATCCTGCTGTGTAGAGAAGTATTGGCGACCAAAAATTGTGAGACATAACAAGAATGCGGTGAGTTCGGTAGAGTGAAATTGAGTAATGTCTCGTAAATGGTCCGGGCCTCAAGCAAGCCATCTGATGACGGTGTTTCCAAGATTACTCATAGTTCATTCTTGAAAACCATCAAAGCTCATGTACAATCCCTTGGCTTGCTAGGATTGGGGTTGAACGTTTGCTAATGCGGTCCGAAGAAATAGTATAGTCCTAAGGTCTGCAGCAATACAAAAAGGAAAGAAGGTACTGACTACCGCGGACGCGGAAGGCGGTGTTGGTATGGATGGACTGTGGACAAGGTCCCAAGCGGGCGGGTCCGGCGGTGGTTGTGGAGGAAACGACCAAGTTGCGCTATGTACACCGTGGGATGAGGCTGAGACCGGGTGTCATTGCCCATCCATTCGGCAAGGTCAGCCGAAGCGTTTGTCGTTGAGATTGCGGATAAGAAACACTTTTCTTGAGCGCGTGCTGATAAGTGAGTGGGTCGTAAACGTTGCGCGTACACAGCCATGCGGGACGACAAGTTCCATCTTTTAGTGTACAGTTCTCACCAAAAACGGGGAAGCAGGCAAGAAATCGATGGCGCAAGGCTTGCAGAGAAACGCTCAGCTACATAAAGCTGCTCGAACTATGCCTGCATAATAATCAGACGATCTTGAGGAGGGAATATCCTGACTTAGTACATGCGGGCTGCTGACGAAGTGATCGTACGGTGGAGTAACCAGCACAAAGGGTCTTTCTGGGGCTTGAACTAATAACAGTCGGAATACTTTTAATAAGACTTTTCAAACTCAGTCGTGCCTGTCATCGCGGCTCCCATAACGCTGGAATAAACACGTCTGTCAGAACTTTTTGTTTAGATCCGTCATTGTGACGAGAAGACTGGGTTTGCTCTGATGTTCAAAACAACTACAATAATGGCAGAGAGAAATCGCGGAACGGAAAGAGGGGGCGGGATGCCTCGTAGCGCCACGTGGTAGGCGGGTACACTTATGCAAGGTACTCTTGTCTCGATCGCGATTTTGCCGTAACAGGACTTGAATGTTTGTATTTTGGAGACTCCAATTGAATAAACTATATTTGTCTTCCGGAATGGATTTTGAATGATTCTGCAGGCAGCCACGCTCAGCTCCGGACGTGCTCGTATCAGAGATTGCAAGATATTCGTGGCGTCTTCTAGTGTGCTTCTACCGCCCTTCTACCTCGGCAATCACTCGCTCAGGTAGATTGGATATAGATTAAAAAAAACCGAGATGGTGCAGCGCATGAGTCAGTGGGGTTGCAGCGTTTGATGAGCGTTCGCAGCGGATGAAAGTGCAATTTGCCACTGCGAAGAGATGCGGCTCCGAACCTGAAACTGAGAACTGGTGCCGGGGGCATGGTAGCCACGTCGCGGGAACTACGAAAGCCTATGTCGTAGCTTCCACGGCTTCGGATTGACATGAAAAAAGGAGTTGCGCTGACTGTCTCTCTCAGATGCAAAACGCGTGAGGCAACCACGTTTTGCAACTAATAAGATGATCATGATAGAGATGCCTCGGCAGATATGAAACGCACCACTATGAATAATTGATTGAAGTCCGTGACCATCCGCCATCAATCTGAAAAGAAGAAGCGTCACGTTCTCTTCGTGGTGATGACCAAGGAATGCAGACCGTTTCCAAGATTAGCGTCGTCAGCCCTGCCGACACGAACGCTACCTTATGCTAAGGCACGACTCTCGGGCTCCCCTTTTCAAGCCACGCAGCACACGGACACCGCCGTTTCTGACTTCGCACTAGCCCATGCCTTCTGGCGTCACTATATTTTACCAGCTTGATCCCTCGAGAGGCTCAGGCGTACTTCCAATATATATAATTGGTGCCTCCTTTCCGTATCACTCTCTCTTCTGCATCCAACATCAAAACAACAATCATAACGAACAGCATCAGTTCAACTCAACTCAGCTCAGTACATAAAACGCGTCATACTTGCAACTCCACAAGCAAGACATCTTGACTCCACCATTCAATCTCAATCCTCCACGAGCATTACTCAATTTGAGTTTCTCTATCAACCATCACCAATATCACAATGCCTGCCGCAGTTGCCTACCCACCTTGCCCAGGTCCACCACCAAACAGGCCACTCCCACCTCTTCCTTCCCACTGAGGAATCATAATGGCACATTTCATCAGCTTTCACGCATCACTCCTCGATCATGGCCTGTTTGAGATCATCCCAACATCCCACCACCTAGCACGTCACCTCGCATGCGAAGAGTGGGGTGGGTCACAGTCAAGAGGTCGGCCTAATGAGTCCTATCATCGGCTTCTTATTAGGTCATGATCTCCGTCTCCACACAAGTAGACGATTCGCATCACGCATATCTATCATTCCGAGGACAGTTCTTCATTACCGGACTTGACCCGTCGATGCTTCCGACATGGACTCCGCATTGCATCCCCACCTTCAATCTGTTGCGATGAACGTCGCTATGACTTCTTACTGCCGCCTGCCACGCCCGCAACGACGATGCTGCTGGACGGCCGCCTTCTTTATCAACTTTAATTACGTCTTTAATCGATGACGCCCTCGGGAAGTCTTGGGATGGTATACGCATTGGAAATGGCCCTACGGCTACGGAGTTCATCAATGGGTCTACGTTCGCTATCATTTCTTGGGATCGGTCGGTCGTTCGTGGATATATATACCCCAAAGGCAGCTGAAAAACTCGCGCCTGGTTATTGTTTTAGTCTCTGCTATTTAGTCTTTCGAGTTTATGCTCCACTCATTGAGCTTCCTCTACACTCTGTTCTCTCCATCCTGTGTCATTTGTGTCCATATAATCATCGCAATGGTGGGCTCTCAATGATCGCCGGGTTCATTTGGTGAGTGGCTCAACGCTTGTACCTGAATTCATCAAGCCCAGACACTCTGTCATTATTGCAGCGATAGAGTACTTCTAGACATACTGCATTATAATTTCTACTAACATGAAACACCCAATACGACACAGTCCTCGTGGTATATTGGCTATCTATTGAGATCTACCACCCTATTCTATGAAACTAGATGCTGTGGCTGGTTCCACATGCACATTACAATATTAGCTTATTTGCGCCTGTCCTCGCTTGTCCTCGGCAACCGGTGTCCCGTTCCGTCTCTTCGAGTTTAGACCTTTACATCAGACTTGTACGTGCTGTCAATAGTCAATACAGATACTTGGCTCAAGCAGTCACAATATCGGTATCCGAGACAATCCATTCACGCTATTAAGACACAGTGATAGAGATCAGACATTCAGCCAATCATTCAGCCAGCCAAGCCTTCAATTAGCCCACGTGCTGAACATTGGGCAGCCAACCAGCAGATACATTCGCAAGCTCCCAAACGGCCGAATCCTCTGTTATCAGTCTGGCATTGATTGAGGTAATTTCGCTGACTGCTTTTCTGCATCCATATGGGCTCGATTCCTACGCTACTCGACCTAATATTTGGCGCCCCGCGCGCAGCCGCTGCCATGTGAGCAACCCTCCGTATGTACCGCACTCGGTGTATCTTTGTCTTGATCGCGTCGAACAAAACCTGTCCACCACCATGTCCATCTTTATTTCATTGGCACCACTTCTCCTGTTGCGCCCAGATATTGCACTCGCGTGTCTGGCGTATGTGGGTGATATGACGCGAGATTGACAAGCGTGTGGGCGCAAGCGTGTGGGCGCATTCGTGTGGGGGCCGATCGACAGTCTGCGGCGCAGTCGTCGTGCTTTGAAACAGATCAACAACACATGGTGGGAGAAGGTGCGTGGGGAGCATGTAATCCTCCGAGCCATGCAAGGATAGACTGTCGATCTTCGACCCGTGCGGCAACGTAATCTGTCTGCACAACCATGCCAGAGAGAAATCGGCAGGGCTCAGTTTTTATTGCATGATTGCATGAACTCAGGCAGTTTCTCGTTCATGTTCCATATTGACAGTCATAGGGGACCATCATACGATTAATGTCGTGCATTGTCATATTCACATGAGTAAGCCACCCAGCAGGTGCTGTATCAGCAGACATGTACTTGTAATTGATACGGACGTAATCCTGCATCTCACCGTTGTCGAGCGGGAGTCGAGTGGCTAAAAGGACTGTATACCTTAGTG